GCAGCAGCAGCAGCAGCAGCAGCAGCGCTCGGACCCTGAATTCGGCAGCCATGGCATCACGCGTGTGTGTGTGTCATTGATGCGCCCGCCCATCATCCCTATCATCCCTTCATCACAAAGTCACACCCGGCTCGCATTCAACCGGATCCAATCCCACCGTCCCAACACTGCCTCGCATCGGCTGTTCCGGCTCGGCTGACGACCCACCATCACACACCAAAACTCGAGCTCAAAGCGCAGCCCCGTCCGCCTCGACGCTACAACATGCACCGCTCCTAGCTCCCGCACCCACCGCACCAATCTCACCGCCGCTAGTAGACTGATCACCCCAAAGCTTCCCTAAGAAACTGGCACCAATGTCGCATTTCGTCTCGGGCCGAGCGTCGCAGGACTTTGACTCGCTGCAGACCCAGCTGCTCCGGCGAGAGCCCGTGCTGGACGGCATCGCCTCCGAAGACGAAGACGCGCTCTACTCGGACGGCACCGATGAGGCACACCACGCTGGGCCATCGGACTCTCTGGCAAGCCGTCGGAGGCGTCCGCTAGAAGACCTCGGGCTCGCCGACGACCAGCACAGCCAGCGAACTTCGCGCGTTGCCTCGCTCTATTCACGACGCAACAGTCCCGAACTGCCCGAACCAGGTCCATCGCGTCCACGGAGCGTTGCGAGCAATACGAGTAATGACGCAGCGCAAGACGGCCAGTCCGAAGCCGCCGACTACTTTTCCACAGCAAAACGCTCCTCGGCGCCCGCCTATCGTGTGGATTTGAACAGCGGCAGCCTCAGCGGCAATCCCTTCTCTTCCTCCACCGACGACGCCCACAGCCAGGATGCGCGCGGCACTGCAGCTGCCACTCCTTCTGCATCGGCAGATCAGCCATACGATGCCACCCATTCCGCTGCTGCTGCTGCTGTTGGCGATCCGTCTGCTGCTGGCCGCCCAGGCCTCTCCTCAGCGTCCTCCTCTGCCACCTTTCTCACCCACAGCACCTCCACCATACGGCCGCGCAGGATGCCCAAAGGCGTCTCCTTCTCCGATCGCAACGTCGGTCCGGGCGAGGATGGCCACTCTGCTCGAAACGGAAAGCGATACCGTCGCCCGGCACGCTCCAACAGCGGCTTCCAAGATCCTTTTCACAACTCCGCCCACCTCCCGCGCACAAAGAGCCTCGGCATGATCAGCCCCGCAGAGATGGCTCCGCGCAAGCTCGGCACCTGGGACGGCGTGTTCATGCCCGTCAGCCTCAACATCCTCGGCATCATCCTCTTCCTCCGCTTCGGATTCATCATCGGCCAGGCCGGCTTGCTCGGCGCCCTCTTCCTCTTGCTCCTCAGCTATGCCATCGACACGCTCACCGCCATGAGCCTCAACGCCATCAGCACCAACGGTCAGGTCCGCGGCGGAGGCGCATACTATCTCATCTCCCGCTCCCTCGGCCCCGAGTTCGGCGGCTCCATCGGCCTCATCTTCTTCGCAGGCCAGGCCTTCAACGCCGCCATGAACGTGCTCGGTTTCGTAGAGACGCTCACAGACGCCTTCGGCCAGAGCAGAGGCGATTCCGGCTTTCTCCCCGAGGGTCCTTGGTACAACTTCTTCTACGGCTCCATTGTCCTCCTCCTCAGCGCCATCGTATGCCTCGTCGGCTCCAAGCTCTTTGCACGCGCCACTCTCGCCCTCGCCCTCATCCTGTCTGTCGCCATCATCAGCCTTCCCGTCTCCTCCTTCACCGTAAAGCCCTTCATCGACGACGACCGCGGCGCCTACTACACCGGTTGGTCGTGGCAGACGCTCAGAGGCAACCTCTTCCCGCACTTCACCGCAGGCGCAGCAGGATCCTCCACCGGCTCCGAGCCCGAAAACTGGCAGACCATCTTTGGCGTCCTCTTCCCCGCCGTCACCGGCATCCTCGCCGGCGCCTCCATGTCCGGCGACCTGCGCAAACCCAGCAAGAGCATCCCCAAGGGCACAAATTACTCGCTCCTCTTCACCTTCCTCATCTACTTCTTCAGCTTCATCATCTTTGCGGGCACCATCGACCGCGAGTCCTTCTACGTCGACGTTGGCATCGTCTCGGACGTCGCGCTCAGCCCGCAGGTCATCACCTTTGGCGCTCTCGCCTCCACCGCCTTCTCCGCCCTCATGGGCACCATGGCATGCGGCAAGGTCCTCCAGGCCATCGCACGCGACAATCTGCTCCCCGTCCTCGACGTCTTTGCCCAGGGCACCGAAGTCAGCGACACGCCTGTCTACGCCGTCCTAGTTACCTACATCTTTTGCCAGGCCATCCTCTTTGTCGACTCGGTCAACACCATCGCTCAGCTCGTCACCATGACCACCCTCCTCACTTTTGGCACGCTCAGCTTCGCAACCTGCGCGCTCAAGGCAGGCGGTGCGCCCAGCTTCCGTCCTTCCTTCAAGTACTGGAACATCTGGACCGCCGCGGGCGGTGCCATCAGCAGCTTTGGCGCCATGTTCTTCACCAACCCCACCGTCGCCGCCGTATGCGTCATCTTTGCCGTCCTCCTCTTTGTCATGATCCACTTCTTCTCGCCACCCAAACCCTGGGGCGACGTCACTCGCAACATCACCTACCACTTTGTCCGCAAGTACCTCCTCCGCCTCGACGAGCGCAAGGGTCACGTCAAGTACTGGCGCCCCCAGATCCTCCTGCTCGCCAACAATCCGCGCACAGAGTGGAACCTCATCATCTTTTGCAACTCGCTCAAAAAGGGCGCGCTCTACGTGCTCGGACACGTGCTCAAGGGCGAGTTCACCGACTGCCTTGCAGAGCTCCGCAAGCAGCAGGTCGCATGGCTCAAGCTCGTCGACCTCACCGGCATCAAGTCGTTTGTCGACGTCGTCATCGCAAAGGACGAGCGAGAGGGCGCGCGCAACCTCATCCTCTCGTGCGGCCTTGGCGGCATGCGCCCCAACATCGTCGTCATGGGCTATCCGAGCGATATGCGCCATCCGGCAAAAGTGGCGCGAACCAACGCAGCCGGGAGCAGCAGACGGAACAGCGACGGCAGCGAGATCACCATCCGCGGGCTCTCGTGGCCCCAACGCCACCACCGCACCGTCGACATCGGTAGCCTGCCAACCGACGTGGCGCGCAAAGAGACGCCCATCTTACCCACCACCTACGTCGGCATCATGGAAGATGCGCTCGCCTTGAACAAGGCGCTGGCCATTGCCTACGGTTTCGATCTCATGCAGCCTCCGTCGGCCGAAGCTGCCTCGAGCTCGTTGCCGTCAGCGCGACCGAGCGCTCAAACAGGAGAGCGCTACATCGACCTCTGGCCGATCCAGATCGCCAGCCCCGACGCCGACGACAGCCATGCCTGGGACACGTACACGATGGTGTTGCACCTCGGCACCATCCTGAGCTTCACCAGCAGCTGGAAGGCGCACAAGCTGCGCGTCTCGGTGTTTGTCGAGCATCCGCACGAGATGGCCGAGGAGCGCAAGCGTATTCAGGCGCTGCTCGACAACCTGCGCATCCCCGCCTCGCTCCGTGTCTTCTGCCTGGCTGACCAGAGCGTGACCACCTACCAGACCATCGTACATGGCAGTAGCACGGCTACCGTCGAGGTGGACGAGGCTCTACGCGGCGACCCGTGGTGGGAGACGCTCAAGGAGCTTCGACGCAACGACGAGCGCCGCGCACGTGCTGCTGCGAAACGCCGATCGCAGGCGCTGTCGCCTGCCAAAGCCATTCCTGCCACGCCAGGGCAAGCAGCCTCCAGCGGCGACGCGCCACGCAAGCAGTCCAAGCGCGAGCTCAAGCTGTTTGGCGTGAGTCTGCCTGCCGAGCACCTCGAATTCCACAAGCAGAACATCCGCCTCGGCCTGGCGCATCCACGCGCGCGCCGCGACGATGGCGACGATGGCGACTCGTCAGACTCGGACTCGGATCTTGATGACGAGCTGGCGCTGCTGTCCGAAGACGACGACTGGCTTGTCGACGGCGCCGGCCGACGCGGGCTCGCCATCCGCCGCGCGTCGACGCTCGAGCCGGCGAGCTATTCGAGCAAGACGCGCGGCACACGTCCGCGCGCCTACTCGATCGGCGGCTCTGCGGGGCTTCCGGACGACCCTGTGTCCGCGGCAAGTCGGCCGCTGCTCGGCTCGAGTGTCTCGACGCAGCTCGCGCCCGGCTCGGTCGGGAGCAGCTACGGCGCGCTGAGCTCGAGCCAGCGCACGGCGACGCCGGCGACGGTACGCGCGGCATCCAACGGAGGCTCGTCGACGCAGCTGCTCGGCTCGTCGTATGCGTCGACCGACTCGAGCATGACACCGCGTGCGTCGGTGCCGTACAGCGAAGGTAGGCGCTCGCCTCTGCGCGAGGCCATGCAGGCCAACGGCGACGGCGACGACGACGAGAATGCCGCCACGCTAAAGGCGTCCGAGCGACAGAGGCTGCAGGCGGAGCTGAAGCGCGCGGACGAGGCGAACAAGACGACGCCGACCAAGTCGACGGGCGCGATGCCGACGGGCGACACTGTGACACCTCGCCCGAAAACGCGCAAGGGTGGGCAGCGGCAGTCGTCGTATGCCGGGCCGACGGCGTCGATGGATCTGAGCGACGGCTCTGGCTCGTCTTCCGGGCGCGAGTACGATGCCAAGACGCGACAGGGAGGCGCTCGCCCGGGCAAGGGACGCAAGGCATCGACGTCTTCCGTCTCTTCCGTGTCATCACGCCACGGTCGAGCACGATCGGAAGAGACGCGCACAGCAAGCAAGTCGCCGTCGCCCGTGCACATGCGACGTCTGCGCCCGGCGCCGGCCGAGCGCACGGCTTTGGCGCGCAGCACGAGCCAGTACTCGACGGATCTGCCGGTGGTGTCGTTCAACGAGCTGCCGAACAAGGCTCAGTACCTCATTCTGAACGAGCTGATCCGCATCAACAGCTCGCCGGCGACGGGCGTGGTGCTGACGGCGCTGCCGGCGCCCGAGCCGGGCACGAGCCGCGACGAGCTCAAGTCGCTGCGCTACCTCGAGCAGCTCGAGAGCCTGTTTGGCGGCGGCCCGCCCGTGTTGGGCGTGCATGCCAAGACGCTCACCATGACCATGAGCCTCTAGACTCGCAGCAGGTGGGAGAGGCGCACAGAAAAGGAATGCATAGATCGCGAGGCTTGCATGGCTGTGGTGGGGTTGCTGAAATGAGGCGGGGCTTGAGAACTTGGGAGTTGATGAGGCTTTGGCGGGCAAGTTTTCAGGGGGTTTGGTGGGATCCATATGAAGTCTTCTCTCATCGAAGGGGTGTAGTTTTGCTTTAGTGTTCTAGGGGGTTTGATCGTGAACCACCACGACTTTTTGTTCAGGATGCGTATGTTGTTGGTTTTGCTTTTGGTGGTGTTGGTGGCTGCTGTCGTCGGGGAGGATGTTGGACGGCCGCATATCGAGTTTCCCGCCGATGGCGGGGGTATGGAGCTCGTCCAAAGCGAGTACAACCAGTTTGCACCGCAGCGCCACGGCGGAGGCAAGAAGCACCATGGCCACGAGGAGGAAACAGAGGAGAAGAAGAAGATGGCGCATTGGATGCATCGCTGGGGCTGGAATCCTTCGCCGGAGCAAGTCAACAGGCTGTATTCGCTCGTCCAGCCGCACAAGCACCACCATCAGCACCACAAGAGCAGTCACAAGGGTCATCACGAGGGCCACCGCCACCCTGGCGGAAAAGAGGAGAAACGCCATCGCCAGGAGGTTGAGAAGAAGCACCGCCACGATGAGAAGGGCGAGGGAGAAAAGAAGCTGCTGCGTTGGATGCATCGGTTTGGCTGGAACCCCTCGCCGCATCAACTTGACAAGCTGCACTCACTCGGTCATTCCCACCGCAAGCAGCATCACGCACACTCCGAGCATCATAGCCAGCACCACAAGGATGACCAATCGGGTCATCACTCGGATCGCCATCAGACCGGAGACCACGCGCAAGCCCAGCACGGTTCTCAAGAGCATCACGTCGAACCACCGGCATGGAAGTCCCTAGACCCCGTCGCCGGGCAAGAGGTCCACCTTCCTGCGCACCTAGGTATCCTTCCACCCGGCTACTCTCACCCACGCTCATTTGGAAACGAGAACCCCTCACCTCCTCGTTCTTCTACATCCTCCGTCTCGGCTGCCAATGCGCCGCTTCCCGCGCCTGGGCACGTTGCGACCTCGACCGCCACAAACCGTACGCTCCCCGCACCTCCTTCTATCGGCCAACCGGTGCTCACCCAAACCCCATCCGTCCAAGCCGCACCCACGATGGGCAACGCCACTAGTGGATCGCTCGGACCAAGCTCAACGCAACCCCCGGCTCCGCCCAATGCCAGTTCGGGCGGGATGATTGCTGGCATCCCCGTGGTTGACGGTGCTGACGCCAAGATTGCCGCTCCCAGAGTGGTCAATTCGACAAGCGCTGCTTCGGTTGTGCATGCAGAGGGCTGGTGCGTCGTCGCGGCCGCTGCCATCCTCGCCATCGTAGCTTGAACCCTGTCCTAGCTTTCGTCGTCAACTGTCATTTGAAATTCGTGCTTTGGTGCCAAGGGATGGCGGTGTTCGGCGTGTTTTTTTTTTTTTTTTTTTTTTTTTTT